ACTTAAAGCTACTGAACTCTGTGCATAACACTTCTATTCGTCTTTGCTTAGGCGCTTTCAAATCTAGTCCCATAGATAGCCTTTACTGCGAGGCTAATGAACCACCTCTCTGGATTCGACGAGAGTATCTTCTTCAATCTTACTTTGCTTCCGTATCTGCAAACCCATCCAATCCAGTCTACCATTTAATTACTTCAACATCGCCTCCGGAGACCTCGCAAAGGATCTAATCAATAATAGATATCCAGAAATTAACTCTAAGAAACACCATCGACCTTACTAAAACACATCCCTTCCCAATCCCAGATACTCCGCCCTGGAATACACCAATCCCACATTCAATCACTTCCCTATTAGAATACAGTAAACATGAAACCTCAAGCCTTCTCATAAGGCAACACTTCAAAGAAATCATAAGCAGGAACAAATTTTAAACAATTTTGTATACAGATGCCTCCAAAAGCGAAGCAGGCGTTGGATGTGCCGTTACCACACATGATGAAGTAATAAAATCATCTTTTTTACCGAGTATATGCAGCGTATATACTGGAGAACTTTATGCGATACTAGAGGCTTTTAAAAAACTAAAAACAGATCATAAAAACCAAGCAATATGCACAGACTCCCTGTCGTCACTACAATCGATTAAAAGCCTATACTCTCAGCATCCCTTAGTGCAAGAAATCCATAGGATACACAGTGCTCTCGCTTTTCATGGTGTAGATGTCACGATCATCTGGCTACCATCCTATGTCGGCATCCCTGGTAATGAAAAAGCAGACCAATCAGCCAAGCAAGCTTCTTGTGTAAACAGTAAATCCTCAAAAGCTCAACATATTCAAATCTGTAATGACTTAAAGCAAATTTTTAAGCAACAACAGTATCGTACCTGGCAAACCTACTGGAACTCAATCAAGAGTGCATTACATGAGATCCGGCAAACTGTTGAAAAATTTGAACTTCCAAAAATGTCTAGAAAGGAAAAAGCTGTCATCCGAAGGTTAAGAATAGGACATACCCGATTTACACATGAGTATTTAATGAAATCCGTGCCGAAGCCCAATTGCTAAATCTGCTCAAGTGTATTAACTGTGAAACATATCATAATCGAGTGTCCCCGGTACGCAAAACACAGAGTGCAACATAAACTTAAGCCAAATATCAAAGACATTTTAAACTCGCCCGATCAAGTCTTTAAGCTAATTGGTTTCTTGAAAGACATTCAGTTGTTTAACAGAATATGACCCTTTGTTTTTCTTGTACTTTACCTTAACGTATATTTAACTTTGTGATAAAACTATTGTATTATTTAATCATAGGTTCTAAGCTTATAGAATAACTGTAGCAATTAGTAATATGTACTTATTGTAATTATTGTATATATATTGTATATTATATTGTTTGTGTCAATGGCCATTGCAGCCGAGACACATTAATTTAAATAAAAACAAAAAAAAAAAAAATTTAACAAATTCGATACAAACTCACCTTTTTGAAAGTCCATAAAAATCATCCATATCAATAGTAATGGGTTTCCTGAAGAGGCAACAGCCTAAAACAGGATGCCAAACCAACAACAACAACAAACAACAAGAAGAAAGAAAAACCCAACGCGACAATAAAGTAAATAGTAATGGAAGTTGTTTCTTTATTTTCCATATCGTTTGTAGAACTGAAACATTGAATTAATATGCTATGAGTATGCATTATATTTATTATACTCTGTATGGTAAATTACATAGAAATTCGTTATAGTTACCTTAGTTTTGAAGCTATTTTCTTGTGGCATTTTAAATTAATTACTATTTAACTGGGAATAAGCCACAATTAAAGATAAAAATACGTTTATTGACGTTTCAATTTCCACTTCTTAAAAAAAAAAAATTTTGAGAACGATTTCCAAGTGGAAATTGAAACGTCAATAAACGTATTTTTATATTTAATTGTGGCTTATTCCTAGTTAATTAGTAATTAGTTACCTTAGTTCTGGTGATTTATGATAAATATATATTGGAACAGTTCCTTTCCTCAAATTAACCCGTCCACTTGGTTGTATAATTAGATCATGCTTTCTAAAGTGTTCTGAGCAGACCATAGCAGTTTTGGTTACTTGTTCTTTATTTAAGCCGAACATAGATAACCACATATTCAGCAGCTGTTGATTCTTTACTAGGAACCTGCATATATTTCATTGAAATAAATATATTTATAGCAATTATAGTGTATATTAGAAAAAATAAATAAATATATTTATAATACTACAAAATTAACTTTATTTCACAAAATTAAATTTCAATTCATGTCAAGAATTAAGTAATATCACATCCCTGTACTACGCCCAAGGACGTAATTCCAATGTTTATAATACTTACGAATGAAATGACAGTTGTGTATGTAAATATATAGTTTTCCTGCATACAACACAGTTACGCATCATTAGCACACTTAACTATTAACTATGTTTCAATTCAAATTTAAAATATATTAACAAATTCACTAAAATGTCACAAATAAGGAAATTATCAACTCAAAGGTAAACAGTACAACGCCATGTTCATTTTCCTCAAATTGCTACGATTGGTTAATATTACCAATGATGCCAAGTTTTACATAAAGTTAACATTTTCAGAATATATTTTGTTTTAATAAATTAAAAAATTAATGTTTTTCTTTTAATTCCTTGGTTGCGAAATGAGTATATCTAAAAATAGTTTATACTAACTAGATTATTAAGAAAATTAAGAAAAAATTATACTAAAAATCGAAAACTATTTCGAAGATTGACTTCGAAAAAAAAATAATATGACAACGTCAAATTAGGGATTTGTGTCTATGACTATGACTATCTCATGGTTTCATGTAAAGATGTAGATAGAGCGGTCCTTCTTTATTTATACGTTCATGGTTTCATCCCTTTAGAATATTGTTTCACTTTTGATAATTTTAGTACAGGTAACCTATTTTGATTGAAGACACATGTGAGAATCACATTCTCTTGTATGTTAGTACATAGACTTAGGGTCTATATCCTAATTTTTTATGTGGAACAGTTGCCGAATTCCCTGTCTCGCTAGGCGTATAGTGGAGATTAGCAGACGCCTACCTGCTGAGTGTAGAGCATTTTTTTGATTTTTGTACCACATTCGGTTTAGGCAACGAGGTCACATGGCTATGACTGTCCGACAAATCACTTGTGTTAGTGCTGCGAATGTCAGCGAGGTTCACTGCAGGGCATAAGGTTGGCTTCCCCAAGACATAGAAACTCATGTCACATACAGTTCATTTTAGAGTCAAACATATCAGTCTAATCGACTTTAAAGAGTCTGGCGATCTATGGCACGCTAGCCCATTCCTTGTAACTAATATTGCTTTTGTTGTTTAATCCCAAGCTTGCCATCATCTGAAATATATTATTTAGGAGTCTCAACTCATTTAAAAGGTTCTTTTAGTTTTGTTTTTGTTGTTTTGTCTTTATCAAAAACTGGATAAAACTATCTGAGTTTTTTTCTTTTAAGAAGGGGCAATTGTAGCATGTTGAAATTACTTAAAATATCGATATGCAAGCATACAAATTTTCTAATATCTCCTGGGCTAGATATAAATTTGTTATATCTTTATTTAAATTCAAATCCCCCAAAGAAAAAATCGAGTTACGACGTTAAAATAATCAATATATTACGTATTTATTTCTACGATCTTAAAGAGTAGTTGTTTCAAGGTCGCTTTGCGACATAATTGAGGCCTGTTTAAAAAACAAGAATTTTAGATTTGGTCAAACGCAACGGTCGTTATGTAGCTTTGCGGAAATACCGGCAAATTTGTCGAAGAATAAGTGATGTACACCCAAACTAATGTGTCAACTCTAATAGGGGTAATTACTGTTTTTTTTAATTGTAAGCCGTCTCTCATCGTGAGATATTTGAAAAACGGCGCTTCCAATAAATCTCTACATGTTCCATTGTCCAGTTCCTTAAGAAGCCGTTCCCAAAATATGCAGTGTCCAATGTCAACCTCAAATAGAATACTTTTCCAGTGGAGATGAATTTATTCATGTGGCAAAGAGTTTAAATGCCAGTTCTGCCCCAAGAAGTTTTTAGTGCGTTTAGTGAAATCCAGGTATTTTTTTTTGTTGAACTTTTAAATTAAAAATAGACGTTTGCCATAAATAATTGCTTTCATCATTTAAAAAGATAATTTTTGTTTAGAATAATTTATTTCTGCCACAGTTTATAGTCCAGTAACAATAGTAAGTGTTTCTCTTTTGTAAATTTTGTATTTACTTTTGTGACTATGAATATAGTATTTTCGTATTGTCTATTTTTGAGTATTTTTGTATTGTCTATTTTTTGTAACTGTTTGTGGTAACATAATAATAAATGTTTTTGTTATTTATAAAAAAAAGTTTTTAACCCCTTTTTTGAGTTTCATATTAAAAAATATATTTTTTATTTTTAATAATTATTTCAATAGTGACAACTAGTTGTTGTAATCGTTATAATTTGGCACCTCGAAGCCGCGTCCTTTTTAAATTGCTAGAGGTCTTTCCTGTGTTTTGTTTGTCCATTTGTTTCAGGAAATTCATATAAATAACCCCTTTGTTTCATTTTTTGTAGTTAAACAATTCAACCCCCTTGCCATTTACTTATCCACGACCCCTGCTTTCCAAACAAACCCTGAGTGCCTTTCCCATAAGTTTCGATTTGTTTTTCTTGTCCTATCTCCACCCCCAAATATTTCTGTCCCCAATTTTCTACCCCCTATAATAATACCTTATGTGGTAGGCAAAATATAATCGTTACAATACAATCATTACATATACGTGCATGAAGAGTATGTGGGTGCGTGTGAGCACATGCATGCTTGTGATACAAAAACTAATTTGATAATAGTGTAATACGATATTAAACTAATATCAAGATTATGAAAAGCAAAATGTATGCAATTAGATTTAATAGAAAACGTATTTTTAACATTTTGTTATAAAAAAAAATAATATTTACCTGTTAAAAATTTTACCCTCCTTCATAATATCACCATCATATTTGGATGTGTGAAATATTTCTTGTTTTGACAATACCGGGGGCATTGAATCGTACATAAACCTTCTACCTAATTGATCAGCTGCTTTATCAATGTCAATATAATCCCTCAAAGAGTCAAATAATTTTTGAATTTCTGCCATTATATTTAATCTTTCCTCTGAGAGTATATTTTTATTTACATAACCTGTGTGTTTCAAATAATTAAGTGGCAATCCTTTCCTAAATAAAAAAATTAATATATTTGATTAATATATTGTTTGAAGTAATGCATTCGTTTTCTAATTCTATCTTTTGGGTGATTTTTAAAAATATGACAATAAATTGGTTTAATGTACTAATACATAAATATAAATACACACATTTCATCATTCTCTTTGCCTTTATCTCTAAGGTTCTATCTTGGTTCGTATCAATATTATTCTCCTTTACCGACATGTCCTGCCTAAGCGTCCTCCTCAAGTCTTCCTCTCCTACTCCGCACAGGAACCCGCAAATCAGCAATCCTTCATATTGGATGATTAACATCCAAAGGCCGAATCATATTAACATATGCTCTCTCATTTTAGGATTAATTGATGCCACCCCTAGGCTTATCCAAGTATTTCAATAGTAGTATCTATAATAATTCTGGCCATATTCCTCTAAATTATATTAGGTCTTTCTTTCCTGTAACACATTTATTCTACTATTTTTGCAGTGAATAGACTTTTTTTCTTATCTTTTAACGTCCACCACTTGACTTTTTGTGGTCCTATTTTTTTTTTTAATTTCGCTTTTTTTTACTTCGATGTCGACCACAATCAACTTATGTTGTTGGCTTACTGTCTCACTATTACCTTGCAGTCCTTATATTGATAATAATAATAGCCTGTGGGAGTTTTTGTCAGTTCTTCTATCAGGCGCGGCTCCCTGCGAATGGGGGATGATTTCAGGGTATTCGTAGCACCAATACCCAGAGGGTAGCAGGGATACTTGTCATGGAACAAAAACTGACACCTGGCAGTAGGTATAAAATGCAGAGCCATGAAAATGGAGAATAATAATTTATGTTTAGGGTCACTGCCTGGGGATCGCCGGGGCACGTCTGGAGCCGGCGCTGGACGTGACAGCATGCGGGACGTCGGTGGCAGGGTGTTAAGGAAGCGGGCCCATATCATACAATCAGCTACACAGGAGCTCCACTCGGTGAAGGTGCTGCGCTGGAACATCAGCCAACGCTCACTCAAGCGGGACGACAGAAGCAGCGCATGAAGTGGACTATGTCTATAAACAAAAACATTTTGCGCTTTGAGATTACAGGGTGATAAACTTCGGCCGAGAAACGATCGGCCATCGACAATATCTGTATGCCGAATTTTGCAGGGAGTACCCAGAGTGAACAGACTCCTGAGCCTCTCATACATGAAACTCAACCTGTTAATACGCAGCAGGACAACAACAAGTTGCACGATAGTCTGGTAAGTGAAATGGCACGTGCCGTACAAGAGTTTAATGGGACAAACCAACTTAGCAGACCACCGCTACCAAAAATAAGCTCTTGTAAGAAACTAGGTGCGCTGTTACAAATGCGAACACTGAAGAAGTCCTACCTAATTACATCGTGGAAGACCATACATTAGAATATTTGCATATACTGATTTACTGTGCAGCAACAGCAATTGCTAATATTATGGGCATTAAGATCAGAACACGATGGGGTACTAATATCGGAAGGACCGAAAACGGAATTGCACCCTTAGAAAAACGACTGCTGAGGAAAATTGAAATATAACGTAGGGATATTGGACAAAATACGAAATACATTCAAGGAGTAAGAACTGGAAAAGTAATTAAAAGAGCCGAAGAAATAATTATTAACACTCTAAGACACTCACAACATGATCCAGAAAATAACACAGCTCCGCACTGCTTGGACACATTAAAACAAAAACTTTCTGTTTATTCAGGCCGCCTACGGAGATACAAAGATAGTAACAACCGGAAATGTGACAATATACTTTTTGAGCAAGCAGAGAAGGCTTTCTATAGGAAATTTAATTCCACTGTAGAAAATGCAAATAAATCCTACCCAAGCAAAGAAGAAATTCATGAGTTTTGGGGAAACCCACTTTCGACGCCACCTAGTCATAACAACAATGCTGGATGGATTGAAGAAACGACGAACAACTGTCAACACTACAGTAATATTGCCTAGGAACCTTTCACCACTGAAGAAGTCTCGAACATTATCAAAGAGCTTCATAACTGGATCTCCTGGACCAGACGGAGTTCAAAATTTCTCGTTAAAGAAGTTTTGGAATGTACATGAGCTTTTAGCAGTATTAATTAATCATGTTATTTTTAATCCACAGGAAATACCACCATTTCTTACTCAGGCAACCACTTATCTAATACCGAAGAATTAAAATAACACCCAAGATCCAGCTAAGTAGCGTCCAATTACTTGTCTTCCAAACTTGTACAAATTGGTCACATCCTGTATAAACAATATCATAGAGCCTCAACAGAAAGGATGCGCTAAGGGTTCCATGGGCTGCAAAGAGCAACTTATAATCGACAGTCATTTCCAACCAGGCGTACACCAAAAAAGGAACCTTTTCACCGCCTTCATCGATTATAGCCTTTGATTCCGTACCGCATGAATGGCTTATAGATATATTGAAAATATATAAAGTCATTGACCTTTAAAATCGATAGTGACCTTTTTAAAGCATGTAATGACGGGGTCGAAAACTAAAATTCACCTTCAAATATCCGGTGAACACAACATCGAAACTGAAGATATCTCAATTAACCGGGGCCTTTCCCAGGGGGACTCGTTGAGTCCTCTTTGGTTCTGTTTAACGATGAACCCACTACCTCAGCTACTGAACTCCACTGACTTAGGTTTTAGCATCAAAAATAACAATACTATCGTGGCGAAGCTTAATCATTTGTTGTATATGGATGATTTAAAATTAATGGCTTCCCCTCGAAACCACTTAGATGCTAAAAACTGTAAAAGATTTCTCAAATGATATCAGTATGCAATTTGGACTAGACAAGTGCCGTATACTAAATGTAGTCAGAGGAAAGGTTCAGCCCGGAGGTTTCGATATGCAAGATCGTCAAAACATCGAGGCAATGGGTGAAAATGATATGTACGCCTGTTCCGCGCTGAGCTACTAAATATGGTATTATAAAGTGGTCAAAAACGGATATAGACGATCTTCAGCAGAAAGTAAGAACACTTCTCACAAAGGCGCAAAAACATCATCCACGTAGTGCAATAGAGAACAGCATTACCGCAGTATCAAGGAGGAAGAGGACTTATGAATATAGGTGAGCAATTGGATAAACAAATTGATAATTTAAGAACTTATTTTCAGGTATAGGCTGAGAAATCTACTTTACATCGAGCAATTTGCGCAGTAGATGATACAACATCACTTAAACTGAGGGAACAAGAAATGCGCATAAACCACCTGAGTAAGCAAGAAAAAATGCACATGTGGATGAGTAAACCTCTGCATGGGCGACGTCTCAATGAGATCAGCCAAGAATATGTCGACAATACAGTTTCCTACTTATGATCCTAAAGTCCAAAATGACAAATGCTGATATAGATGCCAAACCATCCAACATCTTACCGGTGGCTGTGTGATTATAAAGAACGCCATGACTCAGTAGGAAAGATTATCCACCAAGAACTAGCAAACTGGGACTTCTTCAAACCGACCATCTTCCTTATTATCATACGTCCCTGACATAATGCTTGAAAATGACAACTACCAGCTATACTGAGACCGCACTGTGCTTACAAAACCAATCAGTGGCGCATAATAGACCGGATCTCATACTAGTTAATAAACTTACTAGGCAAACAATATTTACTGATTTGGCGTTACGCAACACCAATAATTTACGTGTTAAATACAACGAAAAGAACGCCAAGTACAGAGATCTAAAAATACAAATCAGAAGATAATGGAGAATAAAAAGTACCCATACAATACCTATTATTCTATCCACTATTGGTGTTATTCCCAAAAACCTCCTAGATAACATAAAACAGCTGGGTCTAAATAAACATTACTATAAGGTCATGCAGAAAGCTGTACTGCTCGCGACGTCCAGATGTGTACGAAAATTTTTGGGAGATACTGCAACATACCAAGTCATCTAGGGCTCGATAACACGGAAAGAGTCCCACCAGAGCTCAATCTTTTTGATACCGTAGGTATCTGGGATGAGTGAATTTTCCCCTTAGACGTAGTGTGAGCCGTATGACTAAATCTGGATAATAATAAACCTGAAATATATCGTCAAAGACCCTCAAGTCCAAAACGACAAATGCCGATATGGATGTCAAGCCCAAGAAACCATCCAACATCTTACAGGCGGCAGCCAGGCATTTGTTGTACCTGAATATAAGGAATGGCATGACTCAGTAGGGAAGATCCTCCATCAAGAGATAGCTTTTAAACTGGGACTTCCACAAACAAACCATCTTCATACAATAATACAATCAGCTACAGCCTAACAACAAAAACAACTATACGCGAGCCAAACAACAACCACAGCTCCACTCGCTGAAAGTGCTGCGTTGGAACATCAGCCGGCGCTTACTCAATCAGGACGACCGAGGCAACGCACGAAATGGAATATGTAATAGCAATAAATGAAAATATTTTGCGGTTCTATTAGCAGGTGACAAACCTGTCAGGACACGATCGGGTATCGACAAAATCTCTATGCCGAATTTTGCAGGGAGTACCCAGAAATTCAAGTAACTGAACAACGAGTTGCAGTTCAATACCGGGTTATTATAAGAAACAATCTTATCCCAGAGACTAGACGCAATACCATCAGAAGCGAAGTCGAACGGGAGATTAATAACTAAGAAGGTAAATGTTAATCAAATCCCTAATAAAATACATGAGCAGATTCCTGAGCTTGCCATACAAGAAACTCAACCTAATAATCCACAACAGGACAACAACGAGTTACGCGATATCCTGGTAAGCGAAATGGCACGTTCTGAACAAGAGTTTAATGGAACAAATCCACTTAGCAGACCACCGTTACCAAAAAGAAACTCTTCTAAAAAACTAGGTGCTCTGTTACAAATTATGAATACGGATAACAGAGTGGCGCCCTCTTCTTCTTCTTCTCGTGCCACTCGCCTAAAAAGTTCAATCGAACTACACCCGAACCATTCACGTAGATTACGAAGCCACGATATTTTTCTTCTTCCCATACTTCTTTTGCCCTTAATTTTGCCCTGCATGATGTTTCTTAAAAGTTCGTACTTTTCACCTCTCACAATGTGCTCCAAGTATTCCATCTTTCTAGTTTTTATCTCATTTAGAATTTCGCATCTTTTGTCTAAAGTTTGGAGTACTTGCGTGTTAGTGACGCAAGTGGCACCCTGGAAAAACGCAATATGATCCAGAAAACAACACAGCCCAACAGTGCATGAATACATTAAAACCAAAACTCTCCGTTTATTCAGGACGACTAAGGAGGTACAAAGTTAGTAACAGCAGGAAATGTGACAATGCGCTTTTTGAGCATGCCAAGAAGGCGTTCTATCGGAAAGTTAGTTCCAATGTCGAAAGTAGCAATAAATCATACCCAAGCCAAGAAGAAATCCGGAAGTTTTGGGGAAATTAACTTTCCACACTAGCTACTCTTGCTAATGGCTGGTAGATAAAATTAAGAATATATAAAGTCGATGATAATATAGTGACCTCCTAAGACATATAATGACAGATTGGAAAGCTAAATTCCCCTCTAAATACATAGTGAAAACATTATCGAAACGGAAAATATCGCAATTAACCGCGGCCTATTCCAAGGAGACTCTCTGAGTCCATTGTGGTTATCTCTAGCGATGAACCCACTATCCCAGCTATTGAATTCCACTGACTCCGGTTTTAGCATTAAAACAACAATACTGTAGGGGCGAAGCTTAATAATTTGTTGTATATGGATAATTTGAAACTAATGGCTTCCACTCGAAATCACTTAGATCAAATGCTAAAAATTATAGAAACTTTCTCAAGGGTCCTAAATATAGTCAAGCGAAAGTTTTAGCCCGGAGGATTCGATATGCAAAATGGCCAGAACATCGAAGCGGTGGGCGAAAATTACATGAATAAATATCCAGGAGTAAAGAAAGCGCGGCAAATTGACCATAAACAAATGAAAATTGAATTAACTTCAGAGTTAATCTTCTATCTATACAGCCCTTAAAATCCATCCTTGGATATAGGCCTCCTCCTCCTTCTTCCATGCCTCTCTATCTTGGGCAATTTGCATCCATTTTGACCCGGCGTGTTTCTTCAGGTCATCTGACCATCGCATTTGTGGCCTTCCCCTTTTACGTTTGTGATTCCATGGTCTCCAATGTATAATTGTTTTAGTCCATCTTTCATCTTTCTGCCTTAGGGTGTGTCCGGCGAACTTCCATTTAAGCTTTGCTACTTGGGTTGAGACATCTTTCACTTTTGTTTTATTACGGATCCATTCGTTTCTTTTTTTGTCTGATAGTTTAATGTTCAGCATTTGTCTTTCCATGGATCTTTCTGTCTTTGCTATTTTATCCATATTTTCCTTTGTAAACGTCCATGTCTGAGAGCCATATGTGAGGACAGGGAGTATACATTGATTGAAGACTCTCGTTTTGAAGTATTGGGGGTATTTTGAATTCTTTAGAATATAAGACAGTTTTCCGAATGATGCCCAGGCCAATCTTATTCTTCTCTTTATTTCTTCGGTCTGATTTTCTTTATTTAATTTAGTGATTTGGCCTAGATATATATACTCTTTTACTTGTTCTATTTTTGTTTGTGCCACTGTAATCATAAGTTCTTCTGGTTGATTAGTCATGGTTTTTGTTTTACTATAATTCATCTTGAGTCCAATTTTTGTCGATTCTCTATCTAGTTCTTCCATCATTCTTTGCAATTCTTCACTTTTTTCTGTTATTAATACAATATCATCAGCATATCGTAAATGATTCAGATTTTGCCCGTTTATATTAATTCCCAAGTCATCCCAGTGTAGCCGTTTAAAAACATCTTCTAGCGCTTGGTTAAATAACTTGGGCGAGTTAATCTTAACACATCTTAATAGTAAAAATTTGTTTAAGGTTTTAAAAACTCACGTATTTTACGCGCTTAGTAAGAACAAAAAAATGCGCATTTATAATATTTCAAAAAAAGGTAAATGACCTTTACAAAAAAATTATGTCCTATTTTGCGGATAGTTTAAAACTGGGGTACATACCAAAAGCATGGGGGCTATTAAGGGTCTTTTACACCTCAACCTGGCAAAACGAGAAAAGAAAAAACTAAGTCCCTGGGGCCGATAAATTTGATGTCATTCGTACTGAAGACTCTAGGAAAACTGCTAGATAGTCATATTAGGGATGGTTTATTGGTATAGAAACGGCACTGCACCATCTCGTATAGAGGGTGGAGTATGCTTTGGACAACCAAGAGGTGATGTTGGGTGCATTCATCGATATAGAGGGAGTATTCGATAACACATCCTTTGAAGCAATCACAAGAACGATTCGTCTAAAAGGAATAGACGAAAGCTGCAGATGGATAGACTGAATGCTGAGTCGTGTGATATACGTAATCTGGTCAAGTATGTGCTGATAGTTAGTCTCAGCGACGAAACGGCATTATGTCTTGGGCTATTCGAATGTACTGGTCATCTTAGCCCACGATTAAATTAAATAGCAAAGTCAAAGATAGAATGCAACAGGCTCTGACTGTAGTTACAGAATGGACTTCAAATGTAGAGTTTACCATAAGCTCCCTTATGCCCAAAATCATGAAATTTACCAAAAGGAGGAATTTATAGGGGTTGTGTGCTCTAAGCTTAAATGGTATACATCTTAATCTGGTGAGTGATAAGCTCAAGGCTTACTAGGAATCAGCAGATAGATCGAATAAACAAGAGAACAGTAACTACGTTAATGGTATCAAGACGCACTCACGGAAAAATATGAGGTTTAAAACCAGGACAGGTTTTAAACGTCCCATTAGACATCACAATAATTAAATACGCATCAGTGATATAGTGGCCAAAGGTGCAGCAAAAAATGTGCCATCCTCAAACTAAGCAAGGAGCAAAAACTCGCTTGCTCTCGGAATCCCTCGGAATCACAGAAGCTATGAGGAGCACAACAACGGCATCCATAAAGGTCCTACTCGACCTTCCTCCTTTATATATAATTATATGAGCATAGTAATATAAACGTAAATACGGATACCAAATGGATGATGATTTCTAACTATATGACACCCAGATATATGCCCAAAGTGCCTTTCCAAGAAAGCTTTCTTACTGGACACGCGCCAGTTAAGGGAACCTGCATTGGTTTTATGGAGACTTGAGCTGCGCTCTGTAGCAGAGAACTAGGAATAGTCAAACAGATCTTGCATGACTGCGAGACATTGGATCGGAGGCGGCAAACAATTTTTGGAGAAAAAGAAGTGAATATGTGGATGGGTATATGGTACCCATCCATTAGACCTGTATAAGCTGGAATAGGATTCCCGAATCCTGAAAAGGGTATCATAAAGTAATGGATGATAAGCCAATTGGTTGAAGTATGATCCGTTTATACCAGACGGCTTTCAGGAGAAAAAAAATGGTAATTGGACAAATGACATAATAAACGCAAGGAGTAAGAAAATCATCAAAGTAACAACGCGGTTCAAAAGTGTATGGTTATATTAAAACAAAACCTCTCCTTTTATTCAGGCCACTTAGAAGGTAGAACATTAGCAACAATGGAAAATACAATAAAATCTGGTTAATCCAAATATTCAACATACAATAAAAACCAGTTAAAACAAATAAAAAATGTACCAACTTACCGAAAATGTACGTTATCAAATGATGCTTTTTTTAGTGCCTCAGGTAAAGCATATTCTAATAGATCGGCGAAAGAATTATGCTGATATACTGACACTGTTATATGGAATGAATGGCATTCAGGATCAGTTCTACCCTCGTGAATGGTGCCTCTAGGAAAATAAAGCATATCTCCAGCATTCAAGGTAACTTCCATAAAGGGTTTACCAATATCATCATGTCTTAAATTAGGACTGGACTCACGTGCTAAAACATCGCTATCCCTAAAAACAACATATTATCTAAGTATACAAGTTCCGGAAAAGTTCTAATGTTATGAAAAAAATCACGACTATTTGAAAAAGTATCTATTAATAATGGTCAGAATAAAAAATCGTAAAAGTATTGTCAGTTATATTTTTTTTTATATTTTTAGTAACTCTTTCTCTACTGCCATCCCTCCTAATGGAGTATTGAACGCTCTTGGGTTTCGTAGCCAAAAGTGAAAGGAGGCTGATTGGCTGGATCTGAGCAGTGGCTGGATATTGGCTGGATCACAAATGGAGTACATTTTAAATACTTAATAAAGTAACCATTATATTAAAAAATGTTGTAATATATCAATTGTTACGTTTTAATGTATTTGTAAATATTTAGTATTAAAAAATTTATTGAGATAATTAGGCTCCTGGGGTGTAGAGTTGTGTTATAGAGGTTGCACCTTTTATCGGAACGACCACATCGAGCGTCATAGACGGCAGCTGGTTCTCATTAGACAGCTAACTCTCACTTATGGCTCTCCGTGTCACACCCCCGGCAACTGCATTGGTCTGCAGGCTAAACTAAGTGAGGGTAGCCAGATATGGCGAAAATTTTACCGAGCGATTGCCGGTATAAGCGATCTCCCACTTGCTGACCAACGGCTTCGGGCGGATGAGTTGGTAAGTGGTAGGGCAGTCTTTTGTCCTGGAGTTGAGAAATCGGCTCCGAAGGCGAATGAACCAAAATTTGGCCAACGGCATAAGGATGTAGAAGGCAAGGGAAAACCACTACATTAAAGATCCCTATGGATTTCCCCAGGAAAATTATCATGGCTTTCGGTAGTGATAAGGAATACGTTACTGATCATGGACTTCGGAAGTCAAGATCCGACAACGGAGGATACTTAAACTTAGAATGCAAGGCCTCCCAGGTCGACATCATGCGAAATCCTTGCAACAATAAAACAATTATGAAGAGTAAAACACCTAAATTGAGATGCTTACAAATCGCCACCTGGAACGTTAAAAGTATGTACGAAAGTGGCAAAGCACATAACATCGTAAAAGACGTCAAGAGACTCAAAATCGATATAATGGGTATCAGTGAAACTCATTGGCCCAACTCGGGAGAATGTAATATCCTAGACCATGCAATGTACTACTCTGGTAACGATACCCCTAAACACAATCATGGAGTTGGAATAATCATTGCACCTCGTTTAAAATCGTCAATAAAATCCTACACTGCACTATCAGACCGAATGATTCTTTTACAGCTGTATGCGTCCCCATTTGATTTGAACATAATACAGATATACGCACCTACAGCTGACAAAGAGGAAACAATAATGGAAGACTTCTACGAACAACTAGAAATCTTAATTAATGCAACCAAAAATAATGAAATAACACTTATAATGGGAGATTTCAACGCGAAAGTAGGACGAGGCAAAACAGGAAAGGTAGTGGGAAATTTCGGACTTGGTGAAAGAAACGAAAGAGGAGATCATCTAGTTCAATTTTGCCAAGAACACAACCTAGTACTTACTAACACTCTCTTTAAGCTCCCGCACCGTAGACTCTATACCTGGAAATCACCGGCAGACTCACCTGGTAAAATAATCAGAAATCAAATAGATTATATCGCTGCACCAATCAGGTTTAGAAACTCCATCAAAGCCGTAAAAACTTACCCGGGTGCGGACGTAGCATCAGACCACAATCCGGTGGTATGTAAGTTTGAAGTAAAGTTAAAAAAGCCAAATGTAAAGAACAGGCCCGAAACGCTAGATATTAGGAAGCTTTCCAACAATAATATTAAACAACAGATGCAGGAGAATTTAAATACAGAAATATCAAAAATCCTTAAAAATGAAAATGAACCGCTGGAAAAGTGGAGTGAAATTAAAGAAGAGATTAGGACTTTAAGCACTAAGTTTTACTACACACTACCTGATAAGAGAACAAAGAAAGACTGGATGACTGCAGAAATCCTTGACATGATGGAAGAGATACGGATATATAAAACTAAAGATACTGCCAAATACCATGAAACCCATAGACGAATAAGAGCTGAGATAAGAAAAACTAAAGAGAAATGGTTCTTGGAGAGATGCAAAGAAATCGAACAGTGCGAAAAAATATACGACTATCACAATATGCATAAGAAGATAAAGGAACTGACAACAAAGAAAAGCTACAATATTTTATCGAAAGGGCTGTGCGATGATAATGGAAATCTACAACTAGACCCCGACAAAATAGTTAGAATCTGGGAAACTTATGTGGAACAACTGTTTAATGATGACCGTCCTAGTGGGTATACACTGAGCAATGATGATACTGGCCCTTCTATTCTAAAATCAGAAGTGGAGAATGCTTAAATGGTCTTAAAAATAAGAAAAGACCAGGCAACGATAACGTATACGAGAAAGTATTGAAAATGCTGTGCGAAACAAACAGTCAATTTCTAGACTCACTCGTCAGACTCTTTAACAATATTTATAACAGCGGGGAGTTTCCTGAAGACTGGCTAAAATCAACTCTTGTTGCCATACCGAAAAAACCAAAAGTAAAGTCTTGTGATCAACATCGGATGATAAGTCTAATTAACCACATTTCGAAGGCATACACCAAGGTTATTTAATACCGCAACATTGATGAAAAAAGTAGAGGAGTTCGAAATGTGGGCTTACCGACGTATATTACGTATATCCTGGACTGAGCACGTGACCAACGAAGAGGTACTACGCCAGATAGGTAAAGAGAGAGAGGTAGGAATAAGTATAAAGAAAAAAAAGTTGGAATACTTGGGTCAAGTTATGAGACATAATAAATATAGAGTACTACAGCTGATTGTTCAAGGGAAAATAGACAGCAGAAGGGGTCCAGGGAGGAGCAGACACTCGTGGCTCCAAAACTTGCGGCAATGGTTCGGATTGTCATCGGCTGAACTATTCAGATCTGCCGTAAACAAAGTCAGAATAGCCATGTTGATTGCCAACGTTCGGAACGGACAAGGCACATGAAGAAGAATTAGGCTCCTGTTTTATGTATGTAAGACCTTCCAGACTACATAAAATCATAAGTGTTACATATGGTTGAACTCATATTAAATCGAAGATTCCAATAATGACTGAATGTACAGCGTTATGCATTTGAAAACCCAAAATTACTAATAATATAAGAAACGGCAAATCTGGCAACATTGCAAATATCAAATATGGAATCTCCGTATACCAAAACATGTGTACCTCAAATTTTGACTAGCAATTTGCGAGATAATTGGCCCTTTCCATACTTTTGGGCCACTCTGTATATATATATATATATATATATATATATATATATATATATATATATATATATGTATTTTATATCACGAAACACTTTTTTGACTTTTTTAAAAAATTTATTTATTACAAAATACAAGTTACGTGGTAAAAATGAATGAAATATAAAATATAATGAATGAACTACAAAAATATACTGAATACTGAATTAAGAGCGACAAGCGGTTTTATAATATTACTAAATGCTGACTCAGTGGGAACGTGTAAAAAGCTTGGGTCCCGCTGACTCTGCTGGTACTGCAATTGCAAGGATCCTTATCGGCTCAGGTTGTTGGAAGTGGAACCTGATACCCTGGGAATCGTCGTGATAAGGAACATCGGTTGGTACAATGCATATAACAGCTCCCCCTTTTAGATGAAAGTTGATGCGTGGCAGCAACTTTTAGACTGTCTGTTTATTGGTATTCAGTTGGATCTGCTCTTCTTCGTCTATGGCGTCGCTTAGGTGGATACTGGGTCTTCGTCTTGGAAGGATTTTCCTCCAATTCCGGGTGAAAGCTGTCTCTGGGTGTCTTGGTGGAGAGGGCGGATGGTCATTGTCATTGGTATTGCCAATTCCTATCCTGTGTCTTCTCTTGGATCTGCATTTACATATAACATAAAGAACAACAAGAGTTACAATGACAACTATGGTAAAAATGGTGAACCAGCTCAGATGTTTGTTGACAAACGGTTCATTGATTAGTTTATCGAGTTCTTCAGAATACTGATTGAGTTTGTGATGGGCTATCTCGAGGTCTTCAGTATTGATTCTGCTAAGCTTCAGTGGTTTTAAGTCGGGAAGATGGATTTTATCTGGGAAGTGTTTGCAGCAATTGAATGGAATTTGGACTGGGTGACTTCTGTATGTAACATTGTCATGAACGTCGATTAATTTCTGAGAGTGTACTCTTGTACTTCCAATAAAGGCATCGCACGTGGGTTGTAGTTTGAGTACATGGTTTGTGTAAATAATCTCCGATTTAACGTCTCTGGATTCGCATTTGATGGTAATAGGCAGTGGATCAGAAACTGTTATGAGCCACAGGTTTATGTTGATCTTCTGGACGTTGTAATCTTTGGCAAATACTACGGAAGTCTGGCATGTTCTGGGAAGGCGTTCTTGTCGTTTCAGAAGTTGGGCTTCGCATATGGCATCGCTGTCGATTGGGTATGGAAGTGTGTTGTAACAGATCTTGGTTCGAGCTCGCAAAGTTTTGCATGACTCAAGGCTATTTATTGTAAGGTATAACAATGAATCATCATTTCGCGCAATGTATTTATTTGTTGTTGTTAATATTGAATGAAGACCTGTTCGATTATCCAGTATTGGTATTGGATAGATACGATATAAAGTATATTGTTCTGCATCAGTTAAAGGAATATTTAAGACAAACACAATTCTTGTGTCTAATTGATAGGCTTGCAATTCGATAATATCGAGATATTGAGCTAGATTTGAAGTATAGATTGATAATGGAAGATTATTTTTTTGTAATGATTGTGATATATGCCTTAGCGATTCAATTAAATCAAACGGGGTTATGATTGAGCTATGTAATATTTTTAATCGAGCAAAGGTTATGGCATTTACTATTTCATTTAAAGAGTCTTCGATAAATGAATAGCTTTCCATTAGTAATTCACAAAAGTTTAGCATATCGATTTGAGATTGATAGAATTTTAATTGGT